GGTCTGGGGTACCAGAAGATTCAGAGAGCCCCAGGAGGCCCCAGGAGGTTCCAGCAGGCCCCCAGGAGGCTCCGAGGCGGGGTCTGGGGTACCAGAGGGTACGTCGGGGCTCGATTTTGGGAGGATGTTTCAGGCGAAACAGCCATTCTCTGAGAATCGGGGTCAAAATCATTGAAATTACCATGTGTTTTTGAAGGTGTTATGTTAGTTGAAATTCCCATGTGTTTTTGGACCCTGACGTCACGATCTGCGTGAGGGGTGCCACCGATTTTCAGAATTTCGAGGATGTCCCTAGCGAAACGACCAGAAAAATCGCGAACGCGGCGCCCCGCGTACGCATTAATCGCCTCTGAGCTCTACTCCCTCGGAGAGGTGCGTATCATAATACATCTATATATATATATATATATATATATATATATAAAGGAGAACCAAATGCACCAATATGTGTATATATATATATATATATATATATGTATATATATATATATACATATATATATATATATTGCTCTTCCTATATTTTTGCAAGCCCGGGCGGGGGGGAAACCCGTCCCCCCCCCCCAAGACCGGACTCCCGGGATCTGGGGCTTTGGGACCCTTCGGACGGGCCTCGAAGCGGCCCCCTGGGCCTCGCAGGGCGTTTTGCCAAGCCTTCGCAGCACACCTGGGGCGATCAGGGGGGTCATCGGAGACGTCCTGGAGAACCCTAAGACAGCACAAGAGCTCTCCAAGAAGCCGTCATACCCCGAAAGATCGCTCAAAAACGTACCAAGAGGCCTCCAAGAGCACCCCCAAGAAGGCCCCAAGAGGGACAAATCATTGATTTAATGCAAGTTTTTGGTGACTTTGGGGTTCTCCTCTTTTCGGCTTCCCGACGCTCCAAGACAGCGGTCTTCTGGGCGACCGAAGTCGCCTGGGAGGCTACACAATCGCCCCACAGCCATCCGAAAGGGCTTCCAGGCAGTCCAAGAGAGCCCCATAACGGCACACCAGGGGTCCAAAATGGCCCTAAGAGAGCCCCATGGCGGCCCAACCTCCGAAGCATTCCAAATCGTGACCGGGGCGTTCAGGGAGACCGCGGTTAGAGGCAGGTTGGCCTTAGGAAGCCCCAGAGGCCCCAGAACACGCCCAGGAGGCCTCCAGAAGGCTTTAAGCAAGCTTGAGAACTTTGGTGAGGCTCCCAGAGGCTCTCCAAGGAGGAGCCTCCGCAAAAAGAGCTGCGGAGGATGGGGAAGATGCCCAGGGTATGGCGAGAATGATGAAAAATAAGCATGGATGAAGGATAACGAAAAACATTATTATAACGGCGATGCCAGAAAAGGCAGCAAGGTGTTATCGTTCAAGTGTCCGCTTGACCTTCATGCCTTTTCCGCCTGCATAGTAATCGTCAAGGACCAAGGTGCATGGCGCGAAGCGCCACTGCAGTCTTGTATATATATATATACATATATATACACAGATATGCATATATACATATATACACATAAACACATGTGTATATATATGTATCTACACACATATATAAATATAGATATGGACAACCGCCCCCAGCACCCATTCTACGCCTTTTTCCTTTCCACGAGGCTGGAGTCGTGTCGCCCCCCTCCTGTATCCATTTCGTCTTCGCGCCTCTTTTTGTTCTTCGTTGAAACCTTCCCCCGCATACACCAGTGGCACATTACCCACAAACGCCAACGTGACAGATGCAAGCGTCTGCTTCCTCTGCATCGAGGGGGAACAAACGTGTGAGCCATCCTGTACACGAGAAATCAGTAAACCCTGTGATTTCAGCGGGATTCCTTGGATTTCTGGGATGCTACTCTACGGGACCCTGCGATATCATTCGGATTCCTGGGATTTCATACCCTGGGGCAAAACCAACCTTGGGATCCCCAGGAGGTTCACGGCTCAGAATCCCATGAAACCGATTGAAATCACGGATCGCGACGTCGGCACTGCGCAAACCCTATGATTTCATTCGGATTCCTGGGATGCAGATCGACGAAGCCCTGCGATTTCACTGGGGATCCTGGGATTCTTGGGATCTCATACCCTGGAGCTGAACCAACCTTGGGATCCCCAGGGAGTCCAGGGCTCAGAATCCCAGGGATCCCAATGACATCACAAGGTCCGAGACGTCGGTGATGCGCAAGCCCTGCGACGTCATTGGGATTCCTTTGATTGCTGGGATGCAAATCAACGGAACCTTGCGATTTCAATTCGGATATTGGGAATCCTGGGATTTCATACCCTGGAGCAAAACCAGCCTTTGGATCCCCAGGAGGTCCAGGGCTCAGAATCCCAGGAATTCAAATGAAACCGCAAGGTCTGCGAAGTCGGTGATGCGCAAACCTTACGCTTTCATTTGGATTCATTGGCTTCCTGGGATGCGAACCAACGAAACCCTGCGATTTCCTTTGGATTCCTTGGGTTCCTGGGATTTCAAGCCCTGGAGCAAGACCAACCTTGGGATCCCCAGGAGGTCCAGGGCTCAGAATCCCAGGAATCTTAATTCGACCACAAGGTTTGCGACATCGTTGATGCGCAAACCTTATGCTTTCACGTGGGTTCCTCTGATTCCTGGGATGCAAGTCAACGAAACTTTGCGATGTCACTCAGGTTCCTGGTGTTCTTGGGTTTTTCAGCCCTGACTTTCTGTGACCCCAGGGCTCGCGCCGCGTTTTCGCCCCAGGGTATGAGATCACCGGAATCCCAGAAACCCAAATGAAATTACAAGGTTTCATTGATTCGCACCACAGAAATCCCAGGAATCCCCATGACATCGTAGGGTTTGCGCATCACCGACGTCGCGAACCTTGTGATTTCATTGGGGTTCCTGGTATTCTGGACCCTGGACCTCCTGGGGATCCAAAGGCTGGTTTTGCTCCAAAGCTTGAAATCCCAGGAACCCGAAGAATCCGAATGACATCGCAGGGTTTCGTCGATTTGCATCCCAGAAATCCCGTGAATCCAAGTGACATCGCAAGGTTTGCGCATCACCGACGTCTCGGACCTTGTGATGTCAGTGGGACCCCTGGGATTCTGAGCCCTGGACTTCCTGGGGACCCCAAGGTTGGTTTAACTCAAGGGTGTGAAATCCCAGGAAGCCGATGAATTCCAATGAAACCACAAGGTTTCGTTGATGAGCATCCCGGAAATCCCAGGAGTCCAAATGAAACCAGAAGGTTTGCGCATCACCGACGTCGCGAACCCGGTGGTTTCATCGGGAACGCGGGATCCTGAGCCTCGAACCTCCTGAGGATCCCGAGGTTGGTTTTGCTCCAGGGTGTGAAATCCCAGGAATCCCAATGAAATCACAGGGTTTCGTTGATTAGCACCCCAGAATCCCAAGAGCCCAAATGAAATCGCAGGGTTTGCTGATTTCTTGTATACAGGATGGCTCACACGTTTGTTCCCCTCTATGCAAAGGAAACAGACGCTTGCATCTGTCACGTTAGCGTTTGCGGACAATGCGCCGCTAGCGGATGCGGGGGAAGGCTTCAGCGAAGAAGAAGAAGAAGAAGAAGAAGAGGCGTGGAGAGGGAATGGATACAGGAGGGGAGCGGCATGACCCCAGCCACGTGGACGGGAAGAAGGCGTAGGATGGGTGCTGGGAGGGGCTGCTATATATATGTATATATACATACATACATACATACATACATACATACATACATACATACATACATACATACATACATACACATACACATACACATACACATACATACATACATACATACATACATACATACATCCATACATACATACATACATACACATACATACGTACATACGCATACATACACATACACACATACATACATACATACATACATATATACATACATACATGCATACATACATACATACATACATACCTACCTACCTACCTACCTACCTACCTACCTACCAAGGACCCAGGAACAGCGTCAGACGGTCCGGCCCCCTCACTGAGACCGACGATACATGAAATCTGTCAGAGACTTTCGAACGACGCGGCAAGAAGGACCCGCATGCGACGCAGATCCAGTCGCGCCCTTCCAGGGCTTCTCAAGCAAGAGTACGTGTGTCTACTTTGAGAGTGGAAGGGGGCTCTGACGCCGACCTGCCCGAAGACAAATCGTAGAAGAGTAACAACTGTCGCCTGGTTGGGTCATTTCTCAGTTTATTTCCATTTATGGTGAGCCGCAGGGACTTTCACATGATCCCAACCTTTGCCCCAGGAGGGCCCAACATAGCCCAAGAATGGCGCCAAGAGCACGTAGGTGATATGAGCCTGCCCACGCGCACTTCTGCCGAACAACTGCCAATCTCACAAACGCAAATGATACGCACATCCTCCCGGTCGGCTCGTCGTCACAACCGTACTGTACTCGCACGGAAGATCCTGTTGACTTCTGTGCTTGCGTCCTGCGCGCGCTCGGTGTAAGCGCTATTTGTTACTTGCGTTCGGCCTCGAATGTGCAGTCGCGTTCGGAATAGCATTCGCATGTTCAACCGCGCTCTTGTGTGTGTATGTGTTGAATCGCGTTTCCATTTCCACTCGCGGTCGTGATAGAGCGTTGTGTTTCCGTATGTTTCTGCGCCACTACCTTCTCATTCGCATGTCGAAAACGTCTCGGCATCACTCTTGCATTATCATGTGCACTTGGATTCGTGATAGGTTTCGCTGCACGTTCCCTATCGCATCCAATGCGCATTCCCGCCCGCACCCGCATGATGAGGCTATGGAGACTCACCTGTCGCAGAGGGTACCTCCGAACGCCACGACACAGCACGACGGGACAGACGAAACACCCTACCTCTCTCACTTCTGCTGCGAGCTGCAGGCTGCGGACCTTTGCTTCTCTCCATGGGTCCCTCCTACTCCTTCTACTCCTACTCCTCTCTCCTCCTCTCTCCCTCTCTCTCTGTCTCTCTTATCTTCTTGCCCTCCCGCCCTTTCTCCCCCGTCATATATGACGTCGCTGCGCAGGTGCTCCACACCGCCAAACCTACAATTTAGCGCTGCTTATCTCTATTTTCCCCGTCACATGTTTCAGCTCCCGCTTGATATCAATAATCCGCTGAATGACGCCCATCATGGCGGCAGCTCCCTGAAGTTTTTCTGTTCCTCTGACAAGTTCCTCCGCTGTCATTGTCCCATCATCACTGGCCAACAGATCGAACAGGCCCTTGGTGTCGTGAGACTCTATCCCTTGAGCACCAAGCCAGGCCTGAACCCAGTCATCCTTGCAGATCTCCTCCCATTCGTCGATAGTGATGAAGCCATCTGCGTTCAAGTCTGCCTCTTTAAACAGAGTCTCCATCTTTTGCCTGTGGGCCCTCTGTCTTCGCCTCGTTTGGGCCACCATGACGCCATCATCCAACGTAGCCACCTTGAATGTCTCTTGGGTAAAGACGGCGTTGACCACCCCTACCGCCGCGAATCCAAGGATCATTTTGTGCAATAGCGCGTAAATTATGAACAATTCGTGGACATCTTCGACTAGCACTCTGCAAGACTCCGGCCAATTCGCAAGAGAAATCTCGAACATCGTCAAGAATGCTCGTGAGAAACTGCCGTAATCCACTGGCCCCTCTGGGGTATTAAGGCTGCGGACCATGGCGCGGCGGCCCTGTAAACACCCGCCACCGTGCCACAGGCTCTGAATGGAGTGCTATCAGGCCCTCCGTAGTCAGCGGTATCGAGAGAACGCGCTTCACGGGCGCTTGCCTTGGGAACAATCGGCGGCGCGTTTCGAATCGGGGGGTCGGCCCCCCCCAACACTCGGCGCCGTCGATCAAAACCAGGGGGACTCCCCTCCCCCCACAGCCCCCCCCCCTCCCTCCCCCCCCTCCTCTCCCCCCTCTCCCAAGGGGGGGGGGGGTCAAACCCCCGTCCCCCCTGGGCGCTGGTGCCGGCGCTGGCGGCCGCCAGCAGCGCCGAGGACGCAGCGACGATGACCAGAGGCAGCCCAAGGAGGGGGGGGGTTCAAACCCCTCCCCCTCCCGAGCGCCGAGGGGGGGGTCAAAACCCCTCCCCCTGGCGCCGGCGCCGGCACTGCAGCGGCGGTCAACAGCGCCGGCGCTGGCGCCGGCGACGGCGGAGACGCAGCAACGATTACCACCACTACCACCACCGCCACCACTACCACCACCACCACCGCCTCAACCCACCAACACCACCACCACCAACAACCCACCACACAACCACCACAACCACCACCACAGCCACCACCACCACCACAATCACCACCACAATTCACCATCACCACCACCACCACCACCACAACCCACCACCACTACCACCACCACCACCACAATCTACCACAGCACCACCACCGCCACAACCACCACCACTACTAGCAGCACAACCCACCGCCACCACCACAAACCACCACACCACGACCACCACCGCCACAACCACCACCACCAGCACCACCACCACAAACCACCGCCACCACCACAACCCACCACCACCACCACAAACCACCACCACACCACCACAACCCTCACCACCACAACTCACCATCACCACCACCGCCACAAAAACCCACCACCACCACAGCCACCACCAGCACCACCACCACCGCCTCAACCACCACCACTACTAGCATCGCAACCCACCGCCTCCACCACCAACCCCACCACACCACCACCACCACCACCACAGCCACCACCACAGCCACCACCAGCACCACCTCCACAAACCACCGCCACCACCACAACCCACCACCACCACCACAAACTACCACCACCAGATCGCCACCAAACCACCACCACCACCACAAACCACCACCACCACCACCACTTCCACCACAAACCACCACCACACCGCCACCAAACCACCACCACCACCACCACCACTCACCACCACAACCACCACCACCACCACCGTCGTCCTCGTCGACGCTCCCCGCCGCCGCCGCCCGCCGCCGCAGGCGCCGGCGCGGGCCCAGAAAAGGAAATCGTCGTCCCCGCCCCAGCCGCCAGCCGCCGCCAACGCAAGCGCCGGCCCGAGGAGAGGAGGGGAAGCAGGGGAGGAAGGGAAGGGGGGGGGGTTCGAACCCCCCCCCTCCTCCGTCGAGGGGGTGGGGGGTTTGAACCCCCCACACCGCCCCCCTCGATCCAGGGAGAGGGTCCGGTTTCAACCCCTCCCCTCCAAGCGACCGCAGGATGCGCTCTTTCTGATGTGTAGCGGCGCGCACACGGCGTCTTAGAAGGAGGCTGCTTCTTAGAAGGCGCCAGTCCTACATCTACAGATAAGGCCCGCTTCTTCTGAGAAGCAGGGGTGCTTCTAAGAAGTGCTCCCTCTTCCCACCGCCCCCTTGTGCGCGTGGCTGGAATATTGAAATGCTCGGGAACTTGACTCCCCTCAAAGGGCCCCAGGTCTCAGCACTCCCCATTTCCGAGCGGTGTGAGGCGCTGCTGGGCGCTCCTGCGCGCTCCTGAGGCTTCTCGTATGACTCTCCTGGAGGCCTCAGGATCGCGGTAGGGACCCCATGCCTCCAACGCGCATGCGCTAAGATAGCCCTGGAGTGGGACGCAAAAGGACATGCTCACTTCGCCAATGCCGAGCCATGCAACTTGTGAGGCCGTCTCAAGCGAAGCTGGGACCAGACCAAGCCAAACCAGGCAAATTCTGAGGACGCCTCAAGCGAAACCAGACCCAAACCTGGCCGGACCAGGGCCACCCCACCCCACCCAATCAATACAGCGAGAGGGGGGCACCCCCCCCAAAGAAAATAAAAAAGGAACAAAACATAAACAAAAAGGGAAACAACGAGGGAAAAAAGACCCCCCCCCCAACAAAAAAAAACCGATGCAACCAGACCCTTGCAGATCAGGAGGATGTCTCGGGCAAGGCGCGCGGCCAAACCGGGTCAAAGCAGGGGCCAGACCAGGCAGATATGCGAGGCCGTCCCGAGCAGAATCGCCAGAGCCAGGCTCCATCCTCCGTCCACTCTCCCTGATAAAACACGAAGCGAAAGAGCGGATGACTCACGGGAGGGGGGGAGCGTTTGGACCGCGCGCCCGCTGATGCGGCCAGGGTCGGGAGCGGAAGTCTACATGTGTCGTTCGGAGGTTGTTGTTGGGGTTCTTCGGCGTGGCGTTCGGAGAAATACTTCGGAGTCTGTACAACGATGTGTCCTCCTTGGATGCGCGCGTCCGACCCGAACATGTACAGATTATATAGTACAACCATCATGTAACGGATCGTTTCCCGAGAGGGATGGCCAGAAAGCGTCCGCCACGGAACATGCGATACAAGATTTCTCGGCGCGCGCGTGGCCCTTGGGGGAGGGGAAGGGCGACGCACACTTACTACTAGTAGGTTTGGGTGACGCCGGTGGAGGCTCGCCTTGGGACCCTCTAAGGGATCTCTCGGGCTGTCGTGGGGGCCCCGCGTCGCCCAGGCACACGATGCTGCTTCACGCTGGCACCAGTGCCCCGAGGTCCCCCAGGTGCGCCCGAGACGGCCCCCCCGAGCAGGCCCCCCGGGGAGAGGGGCCCCCCCCCCTGGGAGGGCCCGAGGTGCGCCTGCGAGGCCACAAGGGGGCCCGAGAACTACGGTAGCGAAACGAGGCGAAGCGAAGCGCCGGAGGCGTGCGTGCCCCTACGGGGGGCACGCCCGTGCCCATTAGAGCATGGCGTGGAGACCGTGGCCTCAAACATGTGAAACATAGGCCGACTCACGTGATAACCACCACTCAGTGCTCCCAGCCGCTGATAATCACCGCAAGTCGATTGTGCTGTTGTTTTGGTGTTGTCGTGGTTGGGTCGCCGCTCGGTGTCGCAGTGGTGTCGTCTAATGGGTGGAGAAACTTCCGGATGTCGTCGTCCCATCGTTTTTGTTGCCCTCCTTGTTGCCGTCGTCCTTGTTGTCGAGTGTTAAGATTTGGGTTCCAATTAAGCACTCTCTGTGTCCAGCGTGTCGGAGGGGGAGGAGCCACCGCATTTGCCCAGCGCCACGCCATCCTTCGGCACATCGGGTATATCATGTTTCAACATCACTGTCTCTGCTCTCCGTGTACTCCTGCGGATGGAGTCGGACCACAATTCGACGTCCTTGTTTTGCGTAATGCCCAGTTGCGTGCATTCGTCGTCGCTGACGTCGTCCTGCGCGTTTGGCTGGTGTGCAGGTGGGTCGCTGCAAACGCCGGATTCGCTGGAGTCGTTTGGTGCTGTGCTGCTGGTGTCGTTGTGATTGTCTGGGGATGTTTCTGGATTGTGTTGTGGTGTTGGTGCCGCTGCCGTGCGTCTCCTTGGTGTTCTGATCATGATTCGTACCATCCGTCGTTGTGTTCTGCGAAACTGCTGCTTGAGAGGCTCTGTCAACGTCCACGTCTCTGCTCCGTACGTCATAGTACGGATGACGGTGCCCCTGTATAGTCGTGAGATTACGACCCGAGAATTGACGGGATGACGGTGCCCCGATAACTACGGTAGAGAACAACAAGGAATGGGCACGGCGTCGTCGTCGTCTCCTCCCTCCTCCGTCCTCCCTCCTCCTCCTCCCTCCTCCTTCCTCCCTCCTCCATCCTCCTTCCCCTTATACTCCCCCAAGTGCAACGCTGGCACTCGCGGAGGAGACTGCGGCCGAAGTGCAGATCACCAGACCCACCGCCAACCTTGAATATTGGGGGGGGAGGGGGCGGCGGCGTCGACCGACGAAGGTGGCATGAGTGTCAGCTGTGTGTGTTCCAGAACCTGCAGCTCAGGTATCGCCAGGTTGTTGTTTCTCTTCGGCCCAATGGGTTTCAGTATGGCCAGGGGCGCTCCGCAGTTCGGAACACGACGAATGCGGCGAAATGGGGAGTGGGCTACAAAAGAAGACCTAGGCACCCCTTACCCGAACGCGCCGCTCGACAACATTCTCCGGGCGTCCGAAACGCCTCTCAAGAGAATCCGAGGCGCCCCTTGGAGCATGCTGCGAACCACTTGAAAGCTTAGGGGCCTCCTCGGCGCTGTTAGGGCGCACCCATTGATTGTCTTACGAGCCTCGCCGGCGCTTCCTGAGCTTCACGCATCTCTTGAAAGCGTCTTCCATCAAGCGCCCTTTCAAAGCTCATTCAGCGCCTCTGGCAAGAATGGCGCCTCTCACGAACCTGCTAGGAACCTCCCCAAATTCGCTTCTGGCGTTTCATACGAGCATTTGGGCGCCCCTAATAGGCCGTTCGGGGGTCGCGTGGTCAGCGTTCCGGAAGCCTCAAACGAACCACGCGGGAGGCGTTACACATCCTGTACTGCCGGGGCCCTGAAGGAGGAACCGTTTTCGTTGGGGAGGGGCTCGGTGCTCCCTGATTGTTCTGCAGGGGCCTTGCTCCTGATTTCGAGTTTTTTAGGTCGACGCCCCGACGGTACCTCCAGGAAACCTCTCTGGAAGCCAGTTGCGAGCGCTGTATGGGGCCTCTGGGGCATCTTGAGCGCATGCGTCTGGGAGCCTGCGTAGGGGCCTGTGGCTTCTCTCGCAGGCCTCTTCGCGAGCGCCTCTGCTGAACCCCTGGCGGGCACGCTGGGGGGCGACGGGGGTCTTGCCGGGCGCCTGCACTCTAGAGTGGGCCTCGTAAGCGTTTTCTTATTCGGCGTTTCGACTTTGGGAGGAAGGGGGGGGGATGGGGGGGGGGTCTGGCTCCGGACCTCTGCATTGCGCGTCTGTTTGGAACCGTGCGTCCTCTGGGGGAGACTCCACCTGCTCGAAACAGGCGCCGAACAAAAAAACAGCCGAGAACTACTCCACGGGGGGGGGGGGGGCGGGGGCCCGCGCCGATCGGCAAAACAATGATTTCAAGAACGATCACCTCGTGGGGTCACGTTTGGAGCCTACGCTTGGAACATGGCCATCGAACGCGCGGGTCGCGACCTCGTCGCCACCGGCGCCCTCGCCGTCAGCGGGGCACCTTCCCGCGCGGTTCTGACCGTAGACGGAGAGCTGGAAGCCGATGCGCCCCAGGTCGCCCCGCGGGGCGGGGTCGGGGAACGCTGCGGGTCGGAGCGGGGCCCTCATGTCCCAGACGTCGGGCTGTGGGGCGAGCTCGGCCAGCTCGAGCAGGTCCAGCTGAGCAGGCCCGCCAGCTGAGTCGAAGAACTCGATCACCAGGTGGGTCTCGCCAGGAGCGCGGGCGAGATTTTCGCGCAGCCCACGTCTGCCGGCGTTTCCTCGCTAAGAGCCGACCACAGCGTCGCCGAGACATGATCTACGGAAGCGAGCGAGCCCACGTCGAAAGGGAGGCAGAAGGCGGCCACCACGATGTGGAGCCCCTCCCAGCTCGAGATCGCTGAGGTCGTTTCGGGTCAGGGAGTCGACGACGACGGGGCCCTCGAGCTCGACGAATGCGGCGAAATGGGGAGTGGGCTACAAAAGAAGACCTAGGCACCCCTTACCCGAACGCGCCGCTCGACAACATTCTCCGGGCGTCCGAAACGCCTCTCAAGAGAATCCGAGGCGCCCCTTGGAGCATGCTGCGAACCACTTGAAAGCTTAGGGGCCTCCTCGGCGCTGTTAGTGCGCCCCCATTGATTGTCTTACGATCCTCGCCGGCGCTTCCTGAGCTTCACGCATCTCTTGAAAGCGTCTTTCATCAAGCGCCCTTTCAAAGCTCATTCAGCGCCTCTGGCAAGAATGGCGCCTCTCACGAACCTGCTAGGAACCTCCCCAAATTCGCTTCTGGCGTTTCATACGAGCATTTGGGCGCCCCTAATAGGCCGTTCGGGGGTCGCGTGGTCAGCGTTCCGGAAGCCTCAAACGAACCACGCGGGAGGCGTTACACATCCTGTACTGCCGGGGCCCTGAAGGAGGAACCGCTTTCGTTGGGGAGGGGCTCGGTGCTCCCTGATTGTTCTGCAGGGGCCTCGCTCCTGATTTCGAGTTTTTTAGGTCGACGCCCCGACGGTACCTCCAGGAAACCTCTCTGGAAGCCAGTTGCGAGCGCTGTATGGGGCCTCTGGGGCATCTTGAGTGCATGCGTCTGGGAGCCTGCGTAGGGGCCTGTGGCTTCTCTCGCAGGCCTCTTCGCGAGCGCCTCTGCTGAACCCCTGGCGGGCACGCTGGGGGGCGACGGGGGTCTTGCCGGGCGCCTGCACTCTAGAGTGGGCCTCGTAAGCGTTTTCTTATTCGGCGTTTCGACTTTGGGAGGAAGGGGGGGGGATGGGGGGGGGGTCTGGCTCCGGACCTCTGCATTGCGCGTCTGTTTGGAACCGTGCGTCCTCTGGGGAAGACTCCACCTGCTCGAAACAGGCGCCGAAAAAAAAAACAGCCGAGAACTACTCCACGGGGGGGGGGGGGGCGGGGGCCCGCGCCGATCGGCAAAACAATGATTTCAAGAACGATCACCTCGTGGGGTCACGTTTGGAGCCTACGCTTGGAACATGGCCATCGAACGCGCGGGTCGCGACCTCGTCGCCACCGGCGCCCTCGCCGTCAGCGGGGCACCTTCCCGCGCGGTTCTGACCGTAGACGGAGAGCTGGAAGCCGATGCGCCCCAGGTCGCCCCGCGGGGCGGGGTCGGGGAACGCTGCGGGTCGGAGCGGGGCCCTCATGTCCCAGACGTCGGGCTGTGGGGCGAGCTCGGCCAGCTCGAGCAGGTCCAGCTGAACAGGCCCGCCAGCTGAGTCGAAGAACTCGATCACCAGGTGGGTCTCGCCAGGAGCGCGGGCGAGATTTTCGCGCAGCCCACGTCTGCCGGCGTTTCCTCGCTAAGAGCCGACCACAGCGTCGCCGAGACATGATCTACGGAAGCGAGCGAGCCCACGTCGAAAGGGAGGCAGAAGGCGGCCACCACGATGTGGAGCCCCTCCAGCTCGAGATCGCTGAGGTCGTTTCGGGTCAGGGAGTCGACGACGACGGGGCCCTCGAGCTCGACGAACTCGGCGCCGACGACGCGGGCCTCGCACTGCGCTGATTGCCTCGCCCAGCGACGGGAATCGACGCAGGCGACCCCGCCCGCTAGTGTACATGCCGTCGTCGAGTCTAGCGACGAGCGCCTGCCACGCGACCGCGCCTCCTCTGTGCACTCCGAAGAGGTCCTCGCTTGAACCCGAGACAGCCCAGGATGCGTAGCAGTGGCTGCCAGAGGCAGGGGCGGCCCGAACCGCAGGTTCGGCACCTGCCGCCCCTCTGGACGGCCCGCGATGGGTACTGCCTGGGACGACGACCCACGGGGCCCCCTCTGGATCCTCCGCCGCCTCTGGCTCGGCCTCCTCGCGGCTGGGAGCGGGCGTTGAGTAAGCGTCGAAACCAGGTGCAGGCTCGTGGGCAGCCCGTGCTCTGGCCGCGGGCCCTCCGCGCATACATTGCGGGCGCGCCCGGCGCGCAGCGCGGGGCGGGCTCGGCCCGAGAAAGCTGAAACTCACTTCCTTCCACTATCATACCCGCCGTGCTCACACCGTCATCAACATCACCACCATCACCACCACCACCTCCACCACCACCACCACCATCATCATCATCACCACACCATCATCATCACCATCATCATCCTCAACATCATCACCTGCATCACCATCATCATCACCATCATCATAATCGTCATCGTCATCGCCATCGGCATCGTCATCCTCATCATGATCCTCCTCCTCATCATCATCATCAGCATCATCATCAGCATTAACATCAACATCTCCATCGTCATCGTCATCGTCATCATCATCATCAGCTGCATCACCATCATCATCATCATCATCATCATCATCATCATCATCATCATCATCATCATCAGCAGCATCAGCATCATCATCATCATCATCATCAGTTTGTCCATCAGAGCTCATCGCCTATCCTTGTTCCTGCATGTGCTTCTCCTGCCCCACCTTCCCTCCTGCCCATTCCACTCCTCGTCCTCCTCCTCGCCGTCCTCCTCCGCATCCCCCTTCTCCACGTCGCCAGTGCAGACGAGGAGACCCCGAACGCTCTCAGGGCCCCCCAAAGCCCGAGAAGGCTGGCGAGCCGCCCCCATAGACTCCAAAAGCCTCGTCGCAAGATCTCTTCAGGCATCCTGACGGCCCACAAGGCTTCCAAGGGTATATTCAGAGCCTCCCTGGGGTTCAGACCTCTAGGCAGGAGGGCGGCGGCGACTCGCCGGAGGCGTTTTTCGATACTCATAAACCATTTCCTGCTGTTCGCGGTCAGCGGAGTCAAAGTATATTTCCCGGAGAAGCTGGTTGATCATCAGAGCCAGCATCATATGAACTACCAACAGAAATAGAAATGTCCACGTGAGAATCGTGATCGATCCTTGAAGTGATACTGTGATCAAGTACAAAGAATCAAAATGATGGCTGTTCATATGCTTGATTAACTTCACGGGTCGCACCACTCGGGCCAGACGAGCAATTCGCACAAGGGAAGGATTAGAGCTGTGCTGGAGTATGTGGCTCCATGCCCACAGGATGACTAAGGTGAGATCGATCCAATTCCATACCTCGAAAAGGAAATCGCGACGCAGCGCTGCTATCCTGATGATGATCTCGATCAAGAAGAAAACTCCGAATATCCACTGGAGTACCTCGAAAACCTGAACAGCATGCGGCCAGTTCTCGACTGAGCTCCCCGAAGCACTTCGATGCCTGGCCTGCTGAGCTAAGTCGAACCCCGCGTACTGCGCCTCCGCGGCGATGACCAGGCCATTCGCGGCGATCATCGCGGCCACGATCCCCTCGAACACTGGATGATTCACGACTCTCCTGAAGCCCGTTTCCGTCTGGATGTTACCCATGCTGTCTGATGGGCGCCTGCGCCACGTCCTCGAGCTCATGGAGACCGTCCTGCTCAAACTCACCTGAGCTCGAGAGCCGCCCAGACTCGAAGAGGATACCTGCCCCTCGGGCAGCAGCGACAAATCGCTCGACCGCTGAACCACCGGAGACAGGCACTCGACGTGGTGCCCGGCTGGCGACGTCGGCAGCGAAGCCGCGCAACAGAGCCCGGTGGAGGAGCGCCCGGAGGATGGCGGGTCGATCAGGTGCACTGCAGTGCGCTTGTCCTGGGGGCACTGCGACCCTGCGCTCCGGGCGCTGCATCTGTTCCACACTGGGTGGTGTCGTCCGGCCTCGGGCCCCGATGACAGATCGATCCAGCTCGAAAAATGCATGAAAAAGATCGGGCCTGGGGCTACGGTCGTGAATTGCCGCGATGCCGCGTTTTGGCTTCGCAGCGTCAAAATTCAGGAGATACTGATGCCGCTGCTTCCCCGACCTCTCCTTGGGGGTGCGTTCCGACCACGATTTCGAAGCGAATCCAGCCGTGGCGACGAGGGCCTCACTGGAGGCCCGGAAAGATTAAAAGAGGCAAGGGGCGGTATCGGTACCCTTTCCTCCTCTGAGTCCTCGCCAGCGGTCGTGAGGGTCCCCTTCATGTGGGTCTCCCCTTCGCCGCCCCGCTGCAGCCAGACGCCCGCCCTGGCGGCGGAGAGCTCGAACCGCAGCCGATGCATCTTGCGCTCCAGGTGGGCGACCTCCGACTGGTGCTTGACCCAGGCGCGCTCCAGCAGCTGCTGGACGTCGTCTGTCCCTGGGGCTTCTGCCTCCGGCGAGCCGGTTGAGGTGGACGGGAGGGGGCGCCAGCGGGTGGACGAGGGGGGGGCGAGTTGGTGGCGGTGGCGGCGGAGGAAAAAAAGAACCCTGGGGAGCAGCCGAGGAGTCCTGATGGATCCTGAGGGCTCCTTTGGCACCCGGAGTGGTCCTGAGGACCCCTTATAGGCAATCCCCCGACATCCCGAGGAAGTCTGAGCACTCTCCTGAGAAATCCCTGGAATTCGAAGGAATCCGAAGGAGGCCCGAGGGGGCTCTGACGAGAATGGGGAGGATGACGAGAGGAAAGAGGAACCGGCAGAGAGGAGGCCTATACAGAAGCATCCCTCAGGTCTCGGGAGGCCAAGACAGGATCGATGTTCGAGGATCGTCTGTCGAGGTTCGAGGATCGAGGCTCGAGGATCGAGGATGGAGCTTCGAGGATCGAGGATGGAGGTTCGAGGACTATTCCTGGTGTCGGTAACGCTTGGCGCGTGGGCGGGGTGGGGCACGTCGGGGCGGGGGTGCGCTGCGATCGCTCAGTGCGCTCGCGAGCACCAGCGTGTGGGCAGGGGGGCAGTGCAGCCCCCCCCCCCCCCCCTATCGGCGTGTCGTTCCCACTGGTCGTGGCCACGAAGACGGCGACCAAGACCTACCAGGAGAAGACAGGCGTCGGGCGTTCACTAATGGGGGGGGCAATAGATGGGGGGGTGGGACAGGTGCACCTTTCGTGCACCTTTCGTACCCCTTCGGGGCCCTAGGGAGCTCGTTGAGGGCCCCCTGAGGGCCCCTTTCGTGCAACCCTCGACGCCCCCTCATACATCGCCCCCCATTACCGAACGCCCGAAGGCGACGTAGACGGGGCTGACCGGGAGCAGGAAGTACGGCCCAGTCCACGCGCACACGAGGAACGGCCTCCTGACGTGGTTCCAGACGACGGCCGTGGAGCAGGAGGACAGGAAGGCCATCGAGGACTGCCTGGCCCACCACCGGGCCGAGAGCGGCAGTCATTACATGCAGCATCCGATTCGAGTCTGCTGGGCTACCAAGGTACCCCAAAAGGGGGACTGCAAGGTGGAGCTCGGCTTCAAGGTCCCAGGCAGCAGCCGCGAGAAGATCTTCGACCCGATGGTGGCTCTGATGAGGACCAACCACAGGGCGCGGCTCCTAGCGGGCCAGGCGCCGCTGGGCCAATTGGAAGACCTCGTCCAGCAGTACCTGGACAAGCACATTCAGGGGGTGCTAAAGGTGCCCCTGGCCCAAAGTGCCCAAAGTGCCCGACCTCTGGGCCTCGTGAGGGGTGCTCTGGAGGCTGTTGGGGCCTCCTTGGAAATCCTGGGGGCACTTCTAGCAACACCCGACATGCGCCAAAGAAGAAGGACACCCAGACCCGGGCAGCCGGCAGGACCAGCGCCAAGACTGCCACCGCCTGCCGAGAAGCAGCGGCAGCCGGAGGGCCATCACCGTCCCGGATGTGGGACGCGCTCCGCCATCGCTTGCTCCTCCTGGGCCTGGGAGAGATGCCAGACTTCTCGGATCCGCAACACTGACCCAAACCCCCGACGTCATGATTTTTGTCATGGCGTCGACGACCGCCGGAGCTCGCGGCCCATTCCCTGGAACCGCTTCTCCATCCTGGCCCGCCTTTTGACGGCCCCGAGGCCCGGCGAGGGCCCCCAAGGGCCGAACAAGGCGAATCCCCTCCCCCCCCCGTCGTGCGTTTTTGGGACGCCCGAAATGGGTACGGAAACAATGGGTACAATGCCCAACAACAAATGTTGCCCCAAACCAGCAGCGGCCGCTGTTGGGCAGGCGGCCTTCTGTCCCAAATGGACACGGGCCGCGGCGGCGCGGACAGCGAGTCCTGTTCAAAATGAACAGGAATTGCTGGTGGGCATTGTGCCCATTCTTCCCGTACCCATCTCGTCCGTGCCGAACACCAGCCATCCGTGCCTTGTTTGTCCTGCTTCCTGCTTCCTCGCCCTCCGCTGCGGGGGTCCCTCCAGGCGCAGTTCCCGCGGCCCCGCCCGTGGGCGGCGGGGCGTCTCGCCGAGCCATTTTTCTCCCCTCGGGGGTCGGGTGCTCTGCGCTTCTCCGCCTGCTGCTCCTCCCTCCTGCTCCCTCCTGCCTGCAGTCAGCTTCGTAAGATCAGAGCGCGCGATGAGTGTGCAAAGGGCCCTGTGAGGCCAAGCCGACACTCTGCGAGCGGGGCGCGCGCGGCCAGCGAAAGCGACCAAGGATGGGCCGAAGGGGAAGGATGCAAGGGTCACCTCGGAGAGCTGCTCATCCTTACTATGCCGTTTGACTGTACATATTTCCATGTTTCAATGTTGTAAGTGAATTGCAAAGGTACTCTCTCGGTCGGCCCGTGGCACCATATAGCAGGTCGTGTGTGGTGACTGAGTGGGGGCCTGGGGCTGCTCTCAGCCCGTTGCGACTTCCCGCTGTCAGACCATGCCGTGGGTTCGCTGGTGCACAGTGCCAGCGAAGCGGCCGCGGCACGGTCGATGGCGTCTCCGCGCGCTCGTTGCGGAATTGTCGATGGCACAGACGTTGGCGCGCCACGGATTAAGTGAGTGAGTGTGTGTGGGGCCCCTCCTACTACGTACTATCGTTACTGTTACCCGGAGTGGGGGGACCCAGGTAATGACTATTACCCGCCAGAGGATGAAAAACAACCTCCTGTCCAATAAACGCCGAGCCTCAAAACGCGAGAGGCTTCAATCCTAATCCGCTCAAGATTGATTCCCCGACCCCTCCTTGCCAGCTTCTTCGAGCTGCGTCCAGCCATGGCCACGAGAACCACCAGAAGCGCGTGAACAACTCGGAAACGACGACATGCCGTCGATATCGCCGACGTCGCGCAGGCAGAGAGGAGCTGCGGCTGGCGGGCAGAACGCCAGGCAAGCCACGAGCGAGCCCGCGCGGGCCAACGGCATCAGCTACAGGACTGGGGCCACCTCGTGCGCGTGAGAAAGAGGAGCTGGGAAAACACTCTCTGTCGCTACTCCGCGCGACGGAAGGCTAAGAAAGAGCCCGGTTCCACCGGCCACGGCGCCAGGGCCAAGACGTGCGTTTGGACGCCCGAAATGGGTACGGAAATAATGTGTACAATGCCCAACGACAAATGTTGTCCCAATCCAGCAGCGGCCACTGTTGGGCAGGCGGCCTTCTGTCCCAAATGGACACGGGCCGCGGCGGCGCGGACAGCGAGTCCTGTCCAAAATGAACAGAGGAACTGCTGTTGAGCATAGTACCCATTCTTTCCGTACCCATATCGATCGTCCCGAGTGCGAGAAGGGCGAAGACCGGCCCGGGGATTTGTTCCTGTATTTTTTGGGTGTTCGTCTTCCCCTCATTTCCCATATTTTCCCATGTTTTTATGGGGAATCGACGATTCATTGTGTCTCTGTGTGTTTTTTTCTCCCCTGCGAGAAGGGCGTGCAGCGGCGTGCAAAAGCGCGCAGGGGCAGCGGCCGCAGGCTCCGTCGCTGGCCCCTCAGGGCGGAGGGCGAGCGCAGAGGCCGATACCGCCAGCTCCTCCTCCGCCTCCTCCTCCTCCTCCTCCTCCTCCGCCTCCTCCTCCTCCTCCTC